TATAATTCTATATAGAAAAGATTATTTTAATTTGAATGATTATGTAACATATCACATATCCTTTACAAAGTAGAAAAATGCCTGACTTATCTGTCTGACTTCCAGCATCTTAGTCATCTGGTTATCAGCTAAGAACCAGAAGTAGGGAAATCCAACAGGAAGTAAAGTAAGAGAACTCACTGCCATGATATTGACATGATAGTTGACGGTGAGGGAAGAGACCAGGTAGAAAATCTCAGCATTCTAGATCCATTTACTGGAGGGTACAACAGACCTGGACATCTAAGTATAAACCTATTCCTACTCTCTTATCCAATGCCAGAGTTGGTACACATAACTTTGAGAGCATCAAGACAGTGTTCACTTAAATTCAAGGAAACTCTAAAGTGGTTAATATATTTAAGGATAGTGTTTCTCTAACTTGTCAAAATTAGTTTTGCTATTTTAAAATAAGGTAAGCTTTAGGACTGGGGAAGATTCTCTTCAAAACTGTTTCTTGAGAATGCTAGATTTTAAAAATACTGCTATATTATAGAAAGATTGTGATTTCATTTTTAAAGAATAAAAGTAAGATCCAATTTGTTATCTTGTTGTATCTTCCAACTAATAAATTATGAGGTGAATTAATGATAGTATCATCCTTCAAAAAATTTGAATAATATAGAAAAAGCCTAGATCCTGACCATTTGATTAAAGTAAATACTAATTTGGTTGTACTTTTGCAAAGTAGTACCATTTTATACATTTTCTCTAATAATTACATCCATAGGCTGTCCTAAGGCTGTGTCTCAGACTGCTTGGGATGCCATACAAAATACCGTAGACTGAGTGGCTTAAACAGCAGAAATTTATTTTCTCACAGTTCTGGAGGCTGGAAGTCTGAGATCAGGGTACCAGCATGGTTGAGTTCTGGTGAGGTCTCTCTTCCCGGCTTGCTGACAGCCACCTTCTCACTGTGAGCTCATATGGTCATTTCTCAGTGCGTGTGCCTGGAGGGAGCACACGTATGCACCCCCATGCACGTTCCCTGGTGTGTCTTCTCATAAAGACACTAATCCCATCATGGTGGTCCCACCCTCATGACCTCATCTGACCCTAATTGCCTCCTAATGGCCCCACCTCCAAATACTATAACACTGGAGCTTGGCCAAGCTTCAACATATGAATTTTTGAGGAGGACACAAACATTCAGTCCGTAACAGGCTGCTTAAAATATTTTGGAGCTCCAGAAACCTATTTGGAATGTTATTTTTGGAATAACAAAACTTTGAACTGGTTAGTAATCAAAGATAAAATTTAAGTTTGGAACTTAATTCAACAGAACAATAAAAGGAATTGGAATTGTCTTTTGAACTTAAGCTATAACCTGGAAGTATTGCTGCGCTTGGACTCTGTATGTAACGTAGAACTAAAAGCATTTTGTTGACTGAATTGTTAGGGTTGCTGGTTCATCTCGGATTGTCCTCCTAACTCTTTCCTTTGATGTCTGTGTTTCCTTTCTCAAAGCAGGAGCAACCATCAGGGTAACAGGTATCTGATTATTTATCAATCTTACATGTGCTTTTCATCTGTCTTAGCATATTAGATGTATGAAGCCTCTGCTTCATACATCTAAAGTCTCACCCATTTTTAAAACCACATATCCACATTAATAAATTCTATTATCATACCATAAAACCTGCTTTTTCTTATTAGTATTTTGGATTTTAGGAACCATTTTAGTTGTTCTTGCTAATGCTTTACCATATTTTGCTTCATTTTTTATGAAAATTAACAAAACTAAAAAGTGTAACTTCAAAAGGTAAGCTTTAGATAATATGAAAGCCTATTTGGAAAAACCAAATTGGTTCTTGGTTTTAATAATGGCATAATTACATTAACACAAAATTCAATTTTTTTTTAGTTTTCTTTTGGGAAATATTTTTTTAAATAGTTTTAGTAGCAGGATTCTTTTTGGTAAGGAAGAAATGATGGTTTAGAAAGATGAAAATTAATATTATAACAAGATTATTTAAAGGTCCTTCCAACACCTTTCTCTGTGAAAATACCACCAATTTTAATGTTGTCATCACAAATGCTGCTTAGATTACAAATCAATTCTAATGTAATAAATGGTGATGTGGCTCTCATTGTAATTTCAAGTCTGATTGGGAAAAATGATGCTGCTTCTATCACATTAACTTATTTTGAAATAAAAATTTTTCTTATATATGAAAATAAAGATAATTAAATGTGCAGCATTTACTTGACAGGTGCCTACCTACTATTCTAAGCTGTGCAGAATATAAAATTCTCCTTTCCTATATAATGTGTTTGTTGTGGACTATTTTATCTGTCACCCAGGCAGGCATGCAGTGGCGTGATCGTGGCTTAGTTTAGCCTGGAACTCCTGGGATCAAGTGAACCTCCTGCACCAGCCTCCCAAATAACTGGGATTATAGGCATGCGCCACTGTGCCTGGCTAAATTTTTAAATTATTTTTTGTAGAGATGGGGATCTCACTTTGTTGTCCAGGCTGATCTTGAACTCCTGGCCTCAGGTGATTCTCCCACCTTGGCCTCCCAAAGTGCTGGGATTGCAGGCGTGAGCCATGGTGCTTGGCTGTTAATTGTAATTTTATAATATCTGTATAAATTTTCCTCTCAAGTGCATTTTCACATATAGGTCTGTTTTAATACATTTAGAATACAGTTTAGAGTCTGTGACATATTTACCCTTTAATTTTATACAAATTTATATAAAATTCTTCATATTAAGTTTGAAGAAAAATACTTGTTCAATCAATTATAAAGTATGTTCTAGGATAATGGAATAAAACAGATACTTGAAAGTTATTCACTAATGAACTTAGTCATACCATTTCCTTTTACAAGTGAACAGTTTTCCCTATTCTTTCTTTCTTATTTTTTTGTCTTTCTTTTTTTACAGCTTTCCCTATTCTTAAGTACTAAGTTCATGTTTCATAATATGCAATTACATTTTATTGGGACTACTCTTTTTTCCCCAATATATTTCATGAAAGTATAGTTATTTTGCTTTAATGATTATTTAAATTCATTTTGGGTAGTGCTCCATTTTGTTACATTGCAAGTTTTGAACTGAAATTTTTTCTTCCCTTAGCCAACCCTAATGATTTATATTCTTATCTTTGAAGCTGGCATATGTGTCCAAGTCATTTACCCTAGTTTTAAGAGTTATATAGATTTTTTTTGAAAATTAATAATGAAATGCCTGATGTGCTAATTTGCTAATGAGGCCAGGATCAAATCCCATAACTGTGGTTCACTCCACCCAGCTTTTTTGTGAACTAGCGACCCAAGGGATTTGGGGCAACAGTTGAAACTTTTGATGGCCATAAAGTAATTCTGAGCACTCCTACTGATAACAGATCCTGGCCAACTCTGTCACTTAGAAAGGACTGGGCACCATTCTTGGCACAAGTTCTTTGTGGTTTTAGAATTAATATAAGAGAAAATCGGACACACACACCCCACCCCAATTTTAAGCAATTGTTATGTTTGGTTATTAATAGCATATATATTTTGGAACATTTTTTACAAGATGAGGAAGGTCAGTTAAGAAAAGTTGTCACATTATTTAGAGTTGTTTATTGTACAAAAGAGAACTTAAAAGGCAAAGAACTAGGCTGGGCACTGTGGCTCACGCCTGTAATCTTAGCATTCTGGGAGGCCAAGGTGGGAGGATTGCCTGAGCTCAGGAGTTTGAGATCAGCCTGAGCAAGAGTGAGACCCCATCTGTACTAAAAGTGAAAAAATTAACCGGGTGTGGTGGCAGAGGCCTGTAGTCCCAGCTACTCGGGAGGCTGAGGCAGGAGAATCACTTTAGCCCAGGAGTTGGAGGTTGCAGCAAGCTATGATGATGCCACTGCACTCTACCCAGGGTGACAGAGGGAGACTCTGTTTCAAAAAAAAGGGGGGCAAAGAACTCTAAAAATTCATTTTTCCAAGTAGAAAGGGAAAGATGCTTCAGTTTATGAATACAAATATACTAATAAAATTAATTTTTTATCTATAAAGTTGCATTTCCATAGTAACATTAAGCAAAAATATATTTAAAAGAACA